GGGGGGGGGGGGGGGGGTCACTGGAAAGGATTTCACTCTCCTTTCAAATACTCCATGAATAAACAACAGCAAACCCAGAATCTCCAGTATTTCATTTGTATGGACAATGCTAATCGTAATCTTTGAATATTTAAATTTTCATAAGTATATGTCTGTTTTGAGCTACTGTCTTAATCATTTTTCCAGTGGTTCATGAACGTAGCTCTAGAGGGGAATGTCACATGGTCACCTGGATCATGACAGAATTCAGCCAGTCACAATTCAGGGTAGTGACCTGGTTGATTTATTCCCAGAAATTCCCTGGGGTGGGGCAGGGTTTGGGTAGGCTTCAGTTATGTCAACTCTTCCCACTCAGTGGGCAATGCAAGCATATCTATTGAATTGTTTCCTGATGTTGTACAACCTTCACCTGGTCTACAAACGTCAGTTGCTCAGTTTTGTTGCTGATATCTCCCTTAGCCTACTCGATTTCACTTTTTGTTTTTTTTGTCATGACGTGCAAAACAATGTCCCTTTCTGTTGTTTTTATAGTGCTCTGCCTGGTAAATTACAATCCACTTTTGTACCAAAAGTTCCAGTGATTGCATGAACTCTTTGTGATTGGGAGTCCTGGAAAGCTAAAGCAATTAGCAGATTAGACATTGCACAGGCCTGGGGTCGAGTTCAGGCCCCAGAGAGAAGGTCAAAGGTCAATGTCAAAGAGATTTGGTTGTTGTGCCACGGAGGATGTAACTGTTTGACACAGATTGCAATATCCAGAGAGCAATGTACTGCTATGTAAAAAATGTGGCTTCAGCCTTGAGATAATGAAACACGCTGCTGGGATGTGAATAAGAAACCTTCTTTTGTAGATAAGCAATAAAACCAAATTGAATAACATGTGTTTCAGTGCATCTTTTGTGTTAAATCTTTGAAATTCTGAAAAGGCATCTGTTTAAAATAGCAGGAGTTCTTTTACGGTTAACATGTTCACAGCAGAGGTCCAGACGCTATTGATTGATGATGGGAGAAATACGATTTCAAAACCCACTGTGGGTGGGAATATCATGCAACACCAGCCACTGAGTGGGTTAACCCCCTGCCAATCAGTTACTTCCTTGGCTCCCATTGGGTTATACCAGGCATTGATTGAAAGTGCACAGTAATCGCCACCTACAGGGGGACTGATATCCTCATTTGTTCCATTGCTTCTGTGCACATGTTGTGTGTCATTGTGTGAGTTCACACTCCTAAATATCCATTACAAAGAAATGAAAAAAGAAACCAAAAGAGGATATGGGGGACTGGTGGGTCTCTTAGATATTTTTCCCAGGGTCCTGGAATTTTCTTACAGGTATGGCTGAAACTGTAATTCCTGTCCATGTTACCCACCCAGAAAACAACTGTCTCTGGATGATTCCGAATTCACATACTTGTTTGCTATGTAGTAGGCGAGATATAGTACGTGACATGAGCAGTAGGTCTGAATCCTCAGTATGGATGAAGCAGTAGGCAAATAGTAACTGGACGACATACTACATTCTGCCAAATACTCAGTATGGATCAGACAGTAGAAGAACGCTACCTGGATGATATACCAGATTCTGCAGCCAATGGACGCTACGCCATCCCACAAGGCCACTGGAGAAGTGAGCAGAAACAATGCTTGCTCAGAAATTTTTGTTAAGATGGCGGAGGAAGTGCCATCTGTGTAACAATTTAAGTAAAAAACAATGCCCAGTTACGTAAGTTGACTCATAAATGTATTTTGTCCTTGATAGATTTTGGCAGCTTTTAACTTTCGTGGGCATCCAGCTCCGTCATTGGGAAACATCAGGGTCAAGTGATATGCATTCCAGTGATATGCATTCCAGTGATATGCATTCCAGTGATATGCATCGTCAGCACAGTGTGTCCGAATGCATGCATACTGTTCTCACACATGCACGCAGCATGGCTCGTGCTGCATTGATGGTCGAGTAGCAGGCTAATGGTGGAATTTGATACATTTGGTATAAACATGCGATTTTGAACCCACTGTCCTCCAATCACATGACTACGGTTGTTTAATGACACA